TTAGGACACATCAAACAACTATTCTGAGAAATCTATTTCACTTTTGAGAACATCACATTCTTTTTACTTTTGTCTGCTTAAAACTAGAAACAATGCTAAAATGCATTCTTGTCTGCCCTACAGCAACTAGTTTATTCTGTTATGTTTTTTTGATTACCTACAGTATGAAGCACAATTTGCGCCAATAAAAAAAGAAATAACTTCCACCAGTAAGAAAAAAGTTTGGACGTTTGATCACTTTTCTAGAGTATATTACTGGGTATTTGAGTTTTGATTCAAACATGTTGTGTAGTTTATGGGATCATATTTAAGCATCGATCTTGGGAGGTTTTTAAATACGTTGTCAACATTTCCATACAATCCTAATCAAACTAGACAATATTAAATTGGGCTTAGAACCGCAAGGGACACAAGCCTAAATATATTGTCACTTTTCTCAATTGCATTCTCAATTGCATTCCGTTATTAATTTAATACATCCCAGACAGTGCAGAGCATTACCAAAACAGATGTTAACACCTAATTGAATGATTGTCCTCACTCAAACATTCCAGTTCCTAACAGTGGTTTTTGTTGTATTGAGATACACTTGAAAATATATATTAATTAGCAATATTAAAAGAAAAATGCAATCTTATTTGAATGCCAGACATTGCGTAGACCCTTTATAATCTATGGCTTTCTACTAGCTACTACTCCCAAAGAAAGTCCAGAGTAAAAATAATGTTAGGAATATAAACTTTACTAACACCATTAAAGTTTTATTTTATACAGTAAACAGCATCATTTCCTCATTATATATAATCCACCTCAATATATGGAATATGTACAGGTACATGTCTTATATATGGTCAATATATTGTCTTCGGTACTGATAAGGTTTGAATGCCAATGAGGTGTTGTCATATTGTGTTTTAGTAACAATGGTTGTTGAACTTATTTCCAGAAAAGACAAACTAATGCCATTCGATTGTGCTAAATCTACTCAGGCTCATGTAGCTGAATATTTGCTTCTGTTCTTGACATTATCCAGCAATTTAACTTCCAGCACTTCAGTGCAGAATCTTATTTATTCCAGGTAATTAAAAACTGGTTCATATACCAGTTCTACACAATTTCAGAAATGAATCAAAAACAAATTAAACCTGAGCCAAAACCCCCACCTTTGCGCACAGCATCAGTGCATAAAACTGGATCAAGATTCATTCAAATCACCTCCATGACCTTGACTGCTGACCTAAGTACATTCATAAAAAATGAAACATGCTTTCTTTTTATTAATCAGAACAAATGCCGCTGCAGACTGATTTCTGGAAGAACATTCTTTGTGCAAAATTCAACTTCAGCAATCAGCACTCGAAAAATAAAACATGTTAGTATTGTGCCTTCCCGATTTTCTGTGAACTACACACTACTTATTTAAAAAAAAAAACCTTAAAGAACCCTTTCTTATAAATAGATTGGCTAAATTCATTGCTGAAGGAACAAGCCATTTTTTTCATTGCTATGATATCTTAAAAAAAATATTAAAAATCCTTCCATTATAGAAGGGTATGCTGAATGCCACCCTGAAAAAGCAAACGAAGAAGAGTTTCTATAGCAACCGATTTGCAATTCCAAAATGAGTGGAAATGCCAAAATGCATTTTAATAGAGTATTGTTGACTCGGCTTTTTAACGTGCTTAAAAAATCACTGACTTGCGGCGAAAGCAGTTTAATTTATTGAACTCTTAAATAAACAAGGCGGCACAGTCCTCTTAAAAAACAGATTACTCTTTTTTTGTAACACAATGTATTCAATGATAGAGATAGACAATACCACTATCATGTTGAAACTCTGATGTAAAACCTAAGTTCCTTGGCTTTGTTTTTGATACCACAATGTATTCTGATGTATTTCAATCTCACTTGTCTTCAAAAATTTCATAAGCCAAGAGTGATCTATTATTGTTCACTGTCTACTGTATAGATATTTTTCAGAACAAAACGAGCATAATCATTCAACATGACAAGGTACCTCAATCTTTGCAGTCAAGGTCCAGAAACTACGCTCTTATTTGCCTGTGCATGATCTGTGCATAATTATGTTGCCAGCTTGCTTTACATATACTGCAAACAGTGCTTTAATGAATTTGTATATGCTGCAGTGATTCGCAGTAAGTAATTTTGCTAGAGCCAATAGAACAAGGAAAGAGTATCGCACATTTCCTTGTAGGAAGCTACAGCTGTGATAACAAATGCTAAATACATTTGCATTAAATAATGTACACACTGTATTGTTTAAGTTCTGTATTAACAGGTTCTTAGAGTGAGCAACAACGATGCTCAAAGAGTGTAGACCTGAAGCAACAGTAATACAGCAGTGGCAGAAACCACAATTAAATCAATGAAAACAGTCAAAAAGCCACTCCATCATTAAGACTGGTGTGGCAGAGATGGATATTCAGTATATACTCTAGTATATTAAGCAAAGCTAAAAACAAACCACACACAGGCTGCAAATAAATTGTAATTATGATGAGATTTACAAATGCTGAATTTCATGTCAATATAGTTAATCTTGGCAACAAATCATTGTGGTACTGCTGAATTAACTAATAGCTTAATAGTGGGTTTATTAAGTTTCTGTTCCATGTTCACAACAGAAATAGATTCACCTAACACCAGTAACTAAATTATAGATGATAAGGTGCCCATTGACCAAGACTGAGAAATTCCATTAATATTCATTTCAAAGCTGGTGTATATAATGTATAAGGGTTAGCACTGATGTAAGGAATTATACAGTGGAGCACAGCTTAAATGAATGCTGCTAGACAGCAAGCGCTGAAACTGAGAGATATGAATTCTGAAAGACAACAGCAGGGAAAAATAGTGTAGCACCAACAAATATTTCTAATTATCTCAAGGGACTTACTGTAACAGCAACAAGTGGGAAACCCACATTTCCATGGTTCTTTTTTACTATTAACCTTATTTTATTTGATTTTCTCAAGCAGGTTGACCTTATTTCTAACACACAGGGGCTCTTTTTTGTAACATTTAGTGAGAGTATATTGGGCTGCTGAGAATGACTTTGCTGAAAAAAAAGGTTACAATTGACACCTTCTGATCTGTGACCTTCAATTTTTAATCAATGTTATATGCTGAGATCAAAAAGATGAAAAAAAAATAACAACCAGTGTGTCTTGCTGCTACGAGGAAACCAGAGAGAGCACCACGTGCAGAACAAAGCAAGCCGAAACAGTGCATCTTATAAAGTCTCCATACATTTTTAATAAAGTATAATAAGTCATGACAAAAGTGACAGGCTAGAAAGGTGATGCAGTGTCTCAGTGGTTGTCACACACAGAGAGTTTGACACTAAAGCTATTTTTCAACCAATTTAAAATACATTTAGTTTTTTTAACATAGGACTTGTTCATTTCATATAATCTTATATAAAGACTAAATCAAAAAGCTAGATGTACATGGATTTCAGCCCTGAAGGAAGAAGAAAGATTGTTTTTGTCAGGTCAAACTCTAGCCCCTTCACGTGTACTAGGTATTTAAATATTAATTTTATTTCCTTTTGTGTTGTTTTTTCTACTACTTTGATATAAATTGTAGAAAAATATTAACGTCTAACACCGTTATCCAGTATTTTGTAATTCTTCAACATTTTATAGAGTCAATGGCAAAATAACACTGGATTAACAATGCTCACAAAATCCAGCCATTATGTGATGCAATATATTAATACATTGTACTTGTAACTACAGGCTGTAGAGTGCCAGTCCATAAAATATACTCTCAATGACAATGCATTAAAACCCTACATGCCTGCTGCTCTTGGCACTCCTAACATAACACAAACATTTTTCTTCCCAACAAGAAAAAACAAATATTTGCACCCCACGGCATCACAGACAGTGCAGTATCAGAAATCACACAAAACAGTATATAACTTACATATAACATATATATGTATATAACAAAATATAACTTACATGTTATAGATGCTTACTGTAGTATTTCTATAGTTACCAATTAACTGTAACTTACACTGGATTCAAAACAGGTACTTTGTTACAGTTACTCCCATTTACAATGGACCAACCCAATATTGCATACGCATAGCTTTTGTTTATTACTATTTACTAATAACACTTCTATTACATATCTCTGCAGTCACAAACTGTTTTACATATTAAGTCTATCAACAGTGATTAAACAATTCAAAACATTACAAATGAACAGTTACTCCAGAGGATAAAAACAATGCCTACAGTACTTCCTTTTTGGTGTTTTTACTGAACTCTTTCTTTGGCTGTAACTACAGGGCTGGATGACTACTCCAACCCCAAGCCATAAAACAAATAAACCCCTTCATCATTTTTAAAACAGTCTTCACAACACAAGACCTTTCAAGTTTTCACTTGTCTTTGAATCTCCCCAGGTTCACTGCCTCGAGGGTTTGCCTTCGCTCCCTCTCACTCAGAGAGAGCTTGGTCTCTTAGATTGCTGATAGACAAAAGGTGCTGTTTACCATCCCCTGTTTATACACACAGGCAAACTGTCAACGGCAAGAGTGTGGTGTTCATTTATAACAGTCAAAGCTGCACAAGCAGGCACTGTGCTGTTCCAGGGGGGCAGAGGAGGGGTGGGCAGCCCTGGTCCCGGAGGTCCAATGTGTCTGCAGGTTTTCTAGGTCTCTTCAAGGCACCTGAACAGCTAGAGGAAGTTGTTAACCGACAATGAGCTGATTCAGGTTGTGAAGGGCAGAATGTAGAATGAAAACCTGCAGACTCCAGGACCATGTTCACCCAATTCCGGCACAAACCCTCAAACCCGGCACAAATTTATTCTATATGAGGTTATACCATTTCCTCATTAATGCAATACATTTTCCATGTTGTGTTCCCTCTACCTAGTATAGATAATTGAACTTCTAATGCATAAACCAAAGTATATGCTGCTCCCCAGGGTAATTTATCCAGAATAAGTACTAAAGTGCTTACCTTTTACCGAAAGGCTTCCAGTACTGCCTGCTTCCCCAAATCTGTTTCTTGCAATACATGTGTAGCTGCCACTGTCTGATTTTGTCACATTTGATATCCAAAGACTTCCATCTTCCAAAACAGAAATTCTGTAAGGCAAACACATAAAGACTATTTTCTGAAAATGTATCTCAGGAAACAAAGCCTTTTTCTTATAGAAGTACGTGATGAATTTCAAAAGCCATGACATTGATATTATATTGCATAACTGTTACAACTGACCTTTTCCACTGCATTAAAAATAGTTACAATGGTAAGCTAAATGTAAGAAATTACAATTGAATTACTTTGGTTATGGAATGATTTCAGAAACTGATTCTTGATTAGTTTGTTAACTGGTTTTAGGGTAGGGTAATCACAAAGAGCAAAAAGAAAAGATACAAACTTGTATTATTATCTCAATCATGCAACAACAAACATTGCCAAATCGTTTTCTATTCTTGAAAATAAAGTTTTAAAAAATCCATCAAGTTATGTATCGCCACAGGACAGTCACTTTAAAAGTCATTATATTGGATATACTGTAGGCTCAGAACAGAAAATAAAAACATAATGTATGAGTTATTATATGTGATAGTGGGTTAATGTACAGTCCTTTCCCATCTGGACCACAGAAATGTAAGGGTAAGAAATTTTAAAAAGTCAAACTGAAAGACAGCTGAGAAATATGACTTTAAGAAACCTTTCACTTCTTCAGGTTGTTATTTATGAGGTACTGTATATATTAAGGACAAATTGTATATGGCAGCTGCCATGTATACTTCCCTGGAGTTTTCACAATGGTATAGATTTATATTTTTGGATAAACAGCATATTTGATGATGCTGTCTTAAGGGCTGGATTTTAAATCTCTGTAGAATACATCTCGCACGACACTAAGCATGCAACTTAATGTTAACCTAAATGGCAAAACAGCAATAAGATATGCAGCTGTTTAGTGAATTGCCAATGGTACTGCAAAAGGTCAATGACCCTTAACTGAAATATTATTCTTTCAGATTAATGAGATGGACATGAAAACATTGTAAACATGGTGTGGTTTAAAAGGGATTACATATTCTTGTTAAAACAATCGATAATCAATATTTAGCAATTTAATGAATTTACAAGTCTAATATTATTATGGATTTTATCATTTCAAAATGCAAATATAAAAATAACACTTTTACTCATGGAAGTTAGAGATATGCAATAAGAATACACTATTTTACAGAACTCATCTTTGATAGACATGTAATGAAGTATTTTATGCTTACAATTACAATATACTTCATTTGGAATGACAATGAATTGCTGTACATTACTGACACCTAACATTCAAAATACAACAGCTACAAATTGTGTATTAAGTACAGTAGCACAGGATTTCTTCTTAAAATAATATGTTAATTTTTCTTCAGTTTGCAGAGAACAAATATGTTAGTTTCTCTTGATGTAAACAGGTCATACAGATTTCAACATCTTTATCCTGCTTCTGATTCTGATTGCAAAAATTGCTCATTTGAAAATGTTACCACAAACTGAGGGTCTATTTTGTATTAATAGAAAATGACCGCTCTGACAGACGTCTTCATATAATTAAATGGCATTTCCCAACAAGAAGAGGTAAAAAGGGAGAAAGGTTAACAAACAGGCACAGGAAGAATAAAATCTATGAGAACATCAGAAAATCCCAGGCAAATTACTACTTGTGGCTCCATGAATATCAAGTGTCTTTTTCATTAACAAGGGGAAAAACCTGAAAATATGCAGATGGAAGCTATAACTACTAGCTTCCTGTCAACTGAAAATGTAATGCTGTTGATACTAGTGCGCTGGCCAAGAAGCTAATTTGTTGCATACACACTTTTTTTTTCATGACATACCATATTTACCCAAATATAAATTGCAATTATTTTTCCACAAATTTCAGGGTGGTAGAATTGGCCTGCGGCCTATATTCGAATATAGCTAAACAGTGTTGCTTGGATAACATGGAATGGGTTTTTATTGGTGTGGTCCTAGTCACTATGCTTTAGGCTAGGGGATATTACATATCAGTTTGCAGTAATCTCATCTATCTGAAAAACCCCTGTATCTGGAGCAGGGTTGCGCGTTTCAAAGCAATTATGTTCATTCTAAATAGAGTGGGTGTATAAAGGAATCTGGTATTCTAAATTCATTTAAAAGCACTTGATTGACTCTATTATATACTATCATACAATTGGTTATTTAATTCTTGCTAAATTCAATTATTCGAACACAACAAGCTAAAGCATGTCTTGAAAAGTTTAAGGAGATCAAGTTTGAAAACTGGGCCATGGTGGCGCAGAGCAATGGTTAACATTGCTGCCTCGCAGTGTTGGAGGTCTGTGTTCCAATCTGGACCCGAGGTGTTATCTGCTTGGAGTCTGTATGTTCTCCCCATGTTAACGGGGCTTTCTTCTGGGTACTCCGGTTTCCTCCCACAGTCCAAAGACATACTGTTAGGTTTATTTGGCTTTTATGGATGTTGTGTGAGCGTGTGAGTGTGTGTCTGTGTGTGCTTTGGGGTGAACTAGCACCCCCTCCAGGGTGTACCCTGCCTTGTTCCCATTCCATAGGTAATGAAGCAGTTAGAAAATGGATGGATGGAAACTGGACCATTCAGTATGGAAAGTTCTGTCCCAATTATAAGTTACTGTTTATTACCGATATGCACTCCTGCTCCTGGAGTGCTAATGCATCTTCCGGTTTTCATTCCACACTCATGTACAGTACCAAAATCAGATGTCTAAGCAAATAGGCATTAGTAGCTCAGACTTGCTGCACGTAATAAAAATGAAACATATGGTTTATCTATTTTTTCTAATCCAGTCTGACAAGAGTTTTATATCTAAATCCAAGAAAACATTACACTCTTTCCACTGCAGACCAAGACATAAATGAAATACTGAAAAGTGATATTAATACTTCAATGGTTAGCAGGACTACCCATTACAGTAATGCAGATAGTAGAATTACAGTATATAGCAAGGTACAACAGAAAAGGCGATGAAGTGTAACAGAGTCACACAAGATTCCGACACAAATTCATTTGATGGGCATGTTCATTCACCCATTTGAAGTTATCCTCCTTGGTCATTCAATCACAGGGCACAGGGGAAGAAGTATAAATAATTTAAAGCAGAGATGAAAGAGAGTGCAGAGAAGAATGGCACTCTTCATTGCTGAGCCACACAAGATAAGGATAAAAAAGCAATAAACCAAAAACAAGGCTTTTATTTTATTTTTAACATATGGGGATTCCAAAACACATCTTTGTGAAACCACAGAAGTGTACAAAAGAGACACAGAAATCAAGCCACAGAAATGAATGGTGTGTAATAGAAAAAGCATTTTTTTTTTCAGCTAGATCAAAGCCAACCATAACCACAGGACCAATCATCCATCACTTCCACTCTGAAGTGCAAATTGCAAATATTACATGGACTCAGATAGAGTCCTCTTCCTTGTTAGTTTTTCTCACTTTTTAAAAGAAACCAACACTCCTACTGAAATGTGCTAATAGAGAAAATTTCAATTGCATATCAGATTTGATACTCCATTATAATTTGATGTAGCTCTTCAGACAATATCTTTCTTTTGTCCGTATTGCTGCCTTGGTGTTCTGTGCGACATGTACTACATTATTAGGCAGATGCTGTGCTCTAATATACTCTGAAACAAGGTGCACTTTCTCTGAAGAGAAGCCAAGGGTTTCTTTCAGAGGTGCGATGCACCTGGTTCACGAGGAAGATGTAGCCTAATTAAGTTCACTATATTGAGACAATAATCCCATGTATTCAGAAAGAACAAACAGAAGGCGATGTTCAGATCAAAAATTGTTGTGAGCCTCTCCTTTATCCATAATCCCCCCAAGTCTTCTTCCCTTTTATTGCCCACTCCTCTTACTTCACTTTCCAATAAGGAGATTGTGAGACAAGCATCTGTTGCACTCCCTTTCTTTTCTATTGCTTTTGCTACCATATATCCAAAAATTGTGAAAGATGAACACTTAATACAGAACAAGAAGAGACATAACATACTATTAGTTGAATCAGAACTAGTTTTGAAAATTTCCACCATGTTAGCTTGTTTTATTGCATTGATCCAATCAGTGCATTGATTTCACAAGAAGTAAAACTCATGAATATCATTATGCTTTATTCAAAACGCTAAAACAGAAAACATCTATCCTTATGTGTATACAAAAGAAATGATTTGTTTTTCACTTTCTCAGTTCAAATAAATAATAACTGGCATTATTGGATTTTCAATTGACACAAATACACAGGAGATGAACCACTTACAGGCACCGAAAAACAGCACAAATGGATTTCTAAATAAGTAACAGACTTTTTCTGTACCACGTTAACTGTCATTTGTATAATCAAGCATAATTCATTTGAGGTTTGAAAACAACTTCTCTCAGTTATCTCAGTTATATGGTCTAGTGGAAAACATGTATACAATGGGCTACAGTAGGTTTAGGGCTAGGGAGAAGGAATAATTCTATTTGTAATGTATTTTAGATATTCCTGCAACCACTTGAAGAGTTTAAGTGAGTTTTAATGAGCATATAGACTCTATTCAAGATGACAATTCATATTTTAAATTATAATCTGATAAATATTTAATTTAGGAATTAGACCCTTATGATTACATTCAGTGGTTAGTGTCTTCTGAGAATCTAAATGTGAGTCCTAAAGATAAGAAATGCTAAGCATTTTTGTACCTCACTTCCTCTGGTAAAGGTGATCACCACTGACCTACCTGTGGGCGGTCTTTTAATCATGATTGTATCTCCATGTCTGAGGATTGTACAAGACCCACAGTGAAAAAATATGAAGAGGCTCAGATACTTTATCTCTAGGAAGTGAGAGAAGGTCGCCTTATCCTCAAAAGTGGAAAGTGGCTGGAACAAACACTGGATGTTGATCTATGCTGTCAAATGGAAGTTTAAAAACCCTGCAGTGAAGGAAGTGAAAATGTCTGGAGTTTCAAGATAAATTGAATCTCTGTTTTTAAGATCGTATCCTGCACATCTTACTGTTTGAAAGGGGTGACCCTGCCAGTCCCATAAACTGAA